ACTCATCCAGAAGAAGCTCGATGCCATCTCCAGTCTGCTGTAAAAGCAGCACTGAAGACCGTAGTCGACTCAGAAATAGTAGCTAAACAGAGCCAGTGGATACCAGCAACTTCTTCTCAACTGATGGATGCACATGAACGCATCCCTGCCTGTACGCTCTGAGTACAATGTAGAGGGGGCGCAACTTAAAAGTAGATTGAGAAAAAGTCTACGCAACGATCGCGAACAGTGGTGGGCAGCGAAGGTTAAACATATGAGAAAGGCAGCGGCGATTGGTAATGGTAAACAGTCATTCAGACTTATTAAGGAAACTCGGGGAAAAGGTTAACAAACAACACTTAGTGAGGCTATAGTGGAGAAGGACGGATCTGCGATTCACTCGCAGAATAGACGACTCGTACGATGGGTAGGACACTTCGAGGAGCAGTTCAACTGGCCTCCAGCCACCATTGAGTTGCCCGCTATCCAGTCGGATCCTGAACGGAACACTGGAATAGGCCCCCCAACACTAGTAGAAGTCGAGAAAGTGGTAGGTAACCTGAAATGAGGAAGGGCGGAGAGACCGGACACACTAACTCCCGAGGTATACAAGGATGGTGGTAAGGTGCTCTTAGTCAGGTTAACTGGAGTGTTAACCAGTATATGGAATCAAATATGATCCCCTCCGACTGGTTTAAATCACTGATTATCCCAGTCTTCAATAAAGGCGAGAAGTCCTCTTGTGATAACCACAGAGGAATCAGCCTGACGAACATAGAATCCAAAATTCTTGGTTCGATAATTCTTCGACGCCTGAGTGGAGCTCGGGAACAGCAAGCCCGAGAAAACCAGGCAGGCTTTAGACCTGGCCACAGGTGTATCGAACAAATATTCACATTGGGCCAGGTCCTGGAACATAGGCATGCTTACAGACGCCCGACAATAGCTGTATTTCTCAATCTGAAGGCAGCGGCATTCGACTCCGTTGATCAAGGAGTCTTGTGACAATATCTGTCACTGAAAGGTGTGCCTAGTAAGTACATCACCTTACTGAAGGCTCTCTACTCGAACACTTGTGGGCGTGTTAGAGCCTATGCTGAGATGTCCAGGGTGCTATGCTCATCAAGTGGTGTCCGTCAAGTCTACCCACTCTCCATTCTTATTCAGTTTTAGCATAGACACTCTTATGGAGGTCTCCCTCCCTCCCGTCACCTGACTACAGAAGAATTTTCGTTAGACCTAGAACGTGCAGATGACATAGTCCTCTTAGGTGAAGAAGCTGACAAGATGCAGTCTTCTGGACACTTAGAGTGGCAATTCGAGAATGTTTGGGATGCTTTTCTCACCACCCAAATGCAAATTTTTGCTCCAGGACTGGTCTTTAACGGTGCCACTGCTAATAGTAGAGAGTGAAATGGTTGAGTGTATCGACCACTTTACCTACCAGGGAAGTAGGATTAGCCCTGCCCTGGTGGCTCAGTGGCCAATGAAATCTCTGCACGGATACAAAAGGCTCGATTGGCTTTTGCCAATTTGCGTCACCTATGGCGCCGCCGTGATATCTGTTTGTCTACTGCACAGCAGTCCGCTCTGTTCTACTCTATGGCTGTGATACATTACCATTGAAAGTGGAAGATACAAGAAAGCTTCAAGTGTTTGACCACCGTTGCCTTTGTAGTATAGGACGTATTCTGTGGTGTCACCATGTGAGTAATGCAGAAATCAGGTGTAGAGTTTTAGGGAGAAGAGGTAAATCAGTTGACGAGGTTGTAAACCTTCATCGACTGAGATGGTTGGGACATGTACTACGTATGCCTAGTCACCGATTGCCTTGTCACACAATGTTAATGTTGGCTGAAGTAGGTTCAGGCTGGAAAAAGGCCCGAGATGGCCAGACTAAAACATAGTATCAATGTATGAAGTCTGTTGGTTTGAGACATATGGGGCGATTCAGACTAGCCGGTTGGGGTCCGCGGGACAAGAGGAATCAGTGATTGGAGACTCTAGGTGATATGGCTCAGAACCGATGTCAGTGGCGCAGATGTATACACACATTATCCTCATCTTAACGACGCTATACCGAATCTCACCATTTTGTCGCTCCTCTTTCCTTTCTTCTCGTACTTTATATTTCTTTTGACTGCATTCACTTATCTTCATCCTTCACCTCACTACCTTTCTACTTGATGTACCGATATGAGGTGTGGCAACTCGTACCATTACGCAGTAATGCTCTGGATGGTAATATGATCGAGTTAGTCAGTTACAGAATTCTCAGAACACAAACTTGATACAACATGGGCACCAAGAGATATGCCATACGGAATGATAAAAAAAACTGAAACCTACGCAGCAACCACGTGCATGTTCGTGGTGTAGGCAATTAGATGCAGCCTCTGTGTGAAGGCTTGTGAAACTAGCTGGCTGCCCAGACCTTGGTAGGTAAATCTAGACCGGGTGGCGAAATTTTGAAGACAAAAAAGACGAAAGAGAGAATAGAAACAAAAACAAAAGTGTGTTATTAAAGAATTATTCACTATACTTTTACTTTCCAGTTATAGAAGAAAGACGAAAAGTGAAGCATGATCGCTAATGGTATCGATTCTTAATCATTTCTGCTAACGTCTCAAGCCAGAGTTGCACGATTTCTCGGACCCTACCAACGGGGTCGTAAGGGACCTACAGATGCTAACTCAACACGACTATCCTTCATCTCACAGCACCACGTCATACACCTCTCGCAACAAGTCCCAGAGCAAGCGAGCAGTAAATGGTGTGAGAGCAGTTGGGACGTGTTACACAAGTCCGAGCCACTAACGTCGGGTTTTGAGCTACCCACACTCAATGAATAGCGACCTCCATCACACGCACCACCGTACTTCAGAATAACCCACATGGTGTTTCCATAGTATGCGAGCAATCCTGCAGAGAAAACTGTGATCGAACACGCAAAGTCGTTGGATATCTTCGAATCGGAGGCCAGGTTTCACAGGCGTAGAGTATAACTGCTGTTGACAGGCCCCAGATTTGTATAAAATATTATTTGTTTATTGACACATTTTTTAATTACCGTTTTCGCATCTCTTTCACATCGTGGCCAGTAGCAGATTTCCTGATGTTTGGCTCCTAATATGTTAGTGTTCCAAATTCAGGATAAAGTCGCATATCACGTATATATACACACGTGTTTTTGGGTTAATTTTGATTGTCTTGGAGGCAACAAACTCTTCTATCTAGGCCAGTCCTTTTTTCTCTCCTTTTTGTTTGCGGTTTTGTAGTCGGTGGTATCTATTGTACGGGTTAATTGCTAGTTAGAAGTATGCAAACTATAAAATACTCAGGAGCATAACAACACACTTACACATTGCATACCCGACCTGAGCGTCAAGAAGTTGCAAGGAGATTGCGGAGACCGTGTTTATTATTGAGACGTGTTTCAAAGAGATAAGCAGTTTAATTCGTCGTTTACATGGAAGCCAGTGCTCAACTATACTATCCGGAGGTTCAACAGCTAGTTTGGAATCTAGCTCGGTCCGGCATTTAGTTACAGTGCCAGGTCCAATCACTTTGCTGACGTTTCCGTTTAAAGCTACGATTTTGATGATCACCAAAGCTTAGAATGAACTCACTATAGTGTGTCAAGAGTCCAGATACGACATTCATAAGTAGCAGTGATGCTGCATACACCAACGCGATCGGTGGCTGAGTTCAGGCTTGAATGGCAGAAGTAGGATTTCAAGTCGCGTCACGGTGATGGCTATACCGAAAATCGGTGCTGATTGTATACAGGATGTGGTTTACGAAAAGCTACAGAAAGCGTCCCCTTCTATGTAACCTGCAACCAAATAGAACCACGGATTCCCTCGGATAAGCACGTTATGGATACACTTTTTGAGCTGATAGATGAAGAAGTCATTCGAAGCACTTCGCTGGGATCTTGTTTACAGGTCTCTGATCTACAGTGAACATAAATAACAAGGTTTGTTAGTGCCCTATCCAAACTCGTTTATTGCCTAGTCCGCACTAAAGTCTGAACAGTGAGTGTCCAGCTTAAGCAGTGCGCTCAGTTTCAGAAAAGCTGGGTTAGATATCACATTGAACGACAGCTTTCTGGAAGCAACTGTTTTGCGATCCAAGATGATGCAGACAGACTAGAATTTTAGTCGGTGACAAGCAACTCGGTGAAACAAACGTACATACAAAAATAGTTTTGAAAATGATGACCGAAAGACAGTATAGTTCTCACATATAAACGATGATATAAAGATGGATGGGATGAGTGAGCCGTAAGTTCGTTACAAGATGTATCTTTTACGTGTGAAAAGAATTGATGAAGGTTGTCTCTACTGTTGAGGCTTTAAATTGTATGGGAGCTATGATACTGTCCAAATGTCCAGACCAAAGTAGGTCGTGGCTTTAAGACATCACTTTCTGAGCATTTGACTTGACGTCTGGCTTACAGGCAACGAAGTAATAGAAGGTATCGCATTAGAATGGTCGTATCATAAGGTAATGGTTGCGGCTACCACAGTTCAGATCAGCATACCAGAGTAGAGGGTTGCAACATAAAAAATCGAGAAATAAGAAGTGAAACGTCATGAGAAACAGTTAAAAGAAGGTACAGAAAATAACGGCTTCCTACATGACGATCAATATGAAGAAAATGTGTGAATCTATCTGCGCCACTGAGATAGGCAGAGAGCAGTATCAACCAAAGTCTACAAACACTGATTCCAGTAGTTGCTCGGAGATCAACCTGGAAGTCCACATTTCCTCACACGGCTCAGACCAACAGTAAAAACTTCGTGGGCTGCTGCCATGAAATAGTGAGACTTTTAACAATACTTCAGTCTAAACACACACTGCAGCTAGCGCTGTGAGAGGGAGTAGACGATGACTAGACATGCCTAACATATATCTCAACAACCTGAGTCGATGAATATATACAACCTTATCAACTGATGATTCACAACCTGGTACAGACTTTAACAGATTCCTGAAACAGTTTTCATAAATCTCACCTGGCTACATTGAATTTCACTGATTTTCGAATACGAACCGTCTCCGTTGGGTCCACTGTTCCAATCTCCATAGATGATATTTGGTTCATGCCAAAACAAAGAATTCGAGTCATTGAATGAATGGAAAGTTGCATTTTCACTCAAATAAACATATAATTCCATAGAAGAACCTGATTCATAGAGATTGGTAGCTGGGACAACTGTTTTTCCTGGGTTCACTTGGCTAGGTGATGGACGGCGAAACAAGTTGATGACAAAATAAGCTGTAAGGAGACGGAAAGCAAATGCCTTCAACATTCCCCACTTGTTCCATGGAGCTTGTTGTTGCTGAAGAGCAGGAGTTGCTGCTGCACCGGCTGCTGGCAAGACCTTAAAAAAGGAGAATTAATTTGAAAAAAGAGAGTTGGGCAAAAAAAAGTGATTCAATGGTCTTTTCATCAAATTAAAAAGCCAAACGAAATGAACAAAAAATGATCAAGTCGATCAGATTCAAACCAAGCGCTATAACAGAGTAAAAGTTAGCATGCGCTTGTACGGTGATCATGCGTTGTTTTCAGCACATCTACATCTGTACCTTAATTAACGTATGCTATGAATATGGACAAAAAATCATGTTTGAAACGTTATCCAGGAAATAATACCGTTCAATGTGACAATGCCAATAAATAGACTAACATGGAAGAACGTAATACCGTCCCATATTAACTCTGCAAGAATAACAAAGACCAAACTGACTCTAGTGAATCTAATTAGCTTCATGTGAGTTACTAGATGCACACGAACACAATCCTACCTGTTGTAACCATAATGAGCAGCGGAAACAGCTCAAATTTACGCTGATAAAGTTTTGGCAATGACTATGGATAGTAGTGGGCAGTTAAAGCTAAAGAGAGATAGAAGGTAGCGATGACAAGTGACAGCAATCATTATCCAAACTTATCAAGGAAACTGTAGCAGAGAAGCCTATGACTGGTGCAAGCGGAGAAGGCAGGGCTTGAGATTCCCTTCCAGGAAAGAAAGCCACAATGATGGAGGGAAAAGTTCAACAGGTCGGCAGCTACTCTTCCGCCACCTGCTATTCAGTAGCATCTAAAGGGAAACATTCAGACAGTCTCGAACGACTGCAGAAGTCCAGATAGCTTTAAGCAACCCAACAGGAGGAAAAGTAGTAGAATTCAATGGGCATACCTCAGAAGAATCTCAGAACAATGACCAAGATATAATAATTACATTGGCTGTTACCTGGTGTATGACATAAGATATAATCTGCTCAGACTGGTCTCAATTGCTGATGGTTGCAGTCTTCAAGAATGGAGACAACCCCTCCTGCGATAGACACAGGAGCAATCACTCTGACGAAAGTGAAGTCGAATGCTATAGGTTTAATAATTGCTAAGTGCCTAAATGAAGGTTGAGATAAGTAAAGTCTAGAAAACCAGGCAGGTTTTACACCGCGAATGTAACAACAAGACTTCTACGTTGGAACACAAGCACACACCAGCACCCGGTTTGAAAGTGGCATTCCACTCTATCAACCGGGAGGTTTATTGACAGTGCCACTGAGAAGGGTACAGAATACGTAGATTACTTGACTAAGAGTTTTCTATTCAAATATCATCAGGCATGTTAAAACATATGATGAGGTAACGGGTGAGCTGTGTACGTCAAGATGACTGTCAAGGATATCCAACTTCACCATTTGTGCTTGAATTTAAAATGCGTTATCGTAAGTAACCCTACGTACTTTCCGCTTCTTAGGAACTAACTTCCAAGAGGTTAAGATTTGTAGCTCAGGAGGAGGATGGTTTGATGTTTGCTGAGCTTTGATGGTTTGTTATGGACATTTCATCACTTCACTTTCTTATGGAATTAGTACCAGGGATGTGATTGACTTTAAGGATGAAACGTCCACGTCAAAATATCAAGGCTCAAAGAACACCAAGTCATCACTTTCCCAGGGGGTTACTTGACTTAGAGTACTACAACGACATAACCATGTTGTGAATTTATATTATCACTATGTTGATAATGATCATCAACGTGTATTTCATCTGCGAGTGATATAAAAAGTTGTTAATCTCCAGAGAAACTAAGTAACACAATGCCAATTATGCTTAGAGACTAAATGGCATTATTCAATATGAATAAGTCTATAACTATGGTCTGAAAATTAAGGACTTAGAAACTCACCTCAACAGGAGTAGTGCCAGCCATTTTGAACTCTGGGAAAATTGAGAATCTTCAATTCTGGAAGGAATAAAACAAACTACTGTAGTGGTAAGTGGAACAGGCAATGTGCAGTCCCAGTCAAGGAAATTACAATTGTAAGGGAAAAAACTCAAACCGCAGATACTAACTTTTGCTCCATGAGGTTATCAACGATAGATAACTTAGTATGATCACACGAAAAACATGCATCTTCGGTTAGTTATCCAATACGAAGTCCCCTTTTGGGATGTATTAGTCAGATATCTCTGTTGCTGCTTTATTTTAAACGCAAACCTGATATAGAGAGAGCACCAAAAACGAGAGGGAGAGTAACTTCCAAAACGATAGCACTAATCATTATATGACGTTCTCCACCTCCTGAAAATACACACTGCTGAACCTCATGGTGTTTCTGTCAGCTGCAAACAACCCTTCAGAAACAACGGTGTTGGAAAATAGAACCATTTAATATATCCGGCTCAGACAATAAAAGGTTGAGAGACATAGAACATTACTGCATCACATTTTATGATGCGCAGTTGTGAGAAAAAAACGATAATACTTAACGGCTGATATTCGAGGGTTGAGATGGCTCAACTCGAATGATTCTCAAACAGAAATCAAAAGACCGGTGATTGACTGAGTTTACAGTATCTCAGACTGAAAACGTTTATTGCTGAAAACAGACCCTATTTATAGAGTTTACAGTAATCTTGAAAGGCAAGGAATAATCAGTACATTTATAGAGCCTGGACCCAATGAGAACGCTAGCTGGTCATACGAAATATGACCCATGAGCGGGAAGAGGGCAAAGTAAAACGTTTTAAATCAACCAAACTAAGTATGGAATGTTAACAATTGTTTAACTGACTTTATACAATCAAACATGCAACGACAACACAGAGGTAGACTGTGATTGCTGTATACCTCTATGGTTACGTATGCGGTTAGAAATCTTGGTAACACAAAAAGTAGTCAAACTCAAACAGTAGGACACTTTTAAATTCCTCCCACGTTCACCTATAAGGATGAGAGTAGATAGAGCTCCCTAGCGAACTTGGAAAAAATTCCGCACTTCTGTGGTGGCGAACACATACCATACCTCCAGACACTGATCACTAACTGATTAAGTTACGTTTGAGAAGAATGGATCACCCAATCCATATCAACTTGGAAGTTGACATAACTATGTGAAGGATCGAGATGCCCCATCTCATAACAGAACATCAAGATGTTATGCATTAGGATAAAAGATATAGAAATAAGAAACTAATCAGAAATGAATGAAAGTCATAAAATGAAAACAATATGGACAGCCAGGTAGCATCACGAGTCATCACATACCAGTTGCTCATCGCCTACTGTACGAGCATGAATTTCGCTGCTATGTGGATTTCGGTCTTTGTTGATTTTTATGATAGTAATGATTGACTCATAATGCATCTGTTAAGTGCCGGAGGACTTGAGTAGGAATATTCTTTCAGTTGAAGTTTTAGTTTCGTCACAGCGCAGAGACGTTTTTCAGTTACTAGCTCCGTAAGCAACTAGCATCCTCATTAAGTCAACCAAAATCAACATGGGGCCTGGAATTGCTGCATAATGGTTCGCGGTGTCACACATGTCAGCACATCGAGCGAGAATGCACCAAGATGAAAAAAGAAATAAATAAAGGAATCAAAAGCGGTAGAAAGTAGTAAAAAGAGGGGGATAACTGAGAAAATAGCGGAGTTGACAGCGACCATTGAAGTGGAAACGATATGTGCATACGCTAGCATCATTAACATGGACTCTAGCCTGTTTCACATAAAGTCCACAACCACTGATTTCTGTTATCACACGGGCCCCAACCAGGAAGTTCACGTTTCCCTAAGGTGGCTTAAACCAATAGTCAAAGACTTCAAAGGTTGGTGCCATGATTTAGTCTGGTGACCCCTAACCCTTTTTCCCGGTCTAAACCTACTTCAGTCAAGAATGCGGTGCCACAGATAGAGACCAGGAATGCATAATATGCGACTCAGCCACCTCAATCTATGATGGCTTGCCACCTCATCATACGACTTCCCTCTCCTCCCTAAAACTCTACACCTAACTTCTACGTTACTCACGTGATGACACCGCAACACACCCTATGCTACGAAGGCAACAGTGGTCGAATACCTGAAGCCTTCTCATATCCTCTACATTTAATGACCATGTTACACAGCCCCATATAGTAGGGCAGAGTGGACTGTAACACAGTACATTCGGCACTTAATAGATAACCGGATATCACGGCGGTGCCATCAACGACGTAAGTTTGCGAAAGCCAAGCGAGTCTTTCTCATGCGTGCAGAGACCTCGTTGGTCACTAACCCACCAGGGCTGGGCTGAACTGATCCGAATCCCAAAGTAAATGAAGTGGTCAACAGACTCATCTACTTCAGTCCTTATTTTTAACCAAGATACCACTCAAGATCAGTCCTGGGACAACAATTTGTATTTGAGTGGCATTCTCAAATCGCCAATCCTGGTGTCTAGAAGAATACATATTGTCAGGGTCTTAACCCAACAGGACTACATCATCTGAGTACCGTAGATCTGTGGAGGATTCTCCTGTGGTGATCATTCCCTGTGAAGTCAAACGACAAGAGAGTGAGTTCCATAGGAACGTACATGATAAAGTTGAATAAGAATGGAGAGTGGACATTGATGACGGACACCACTCAACGTATACAACTCAACATAGGGTCTAACACGCGCATGGATGTTCGAGTAGGGCTTTCGACAGAGTTATGTACTTGCTCAGCGTACCTTTACGTAAGAGACATTGCTGCAACCAGAAAGTGTATTAGTCGACCTCTGGAGTTTCCGGGAATTCCGAGAACTTTTTGGAACTTAAGTTGTGGATGCATTAACTCAGGGAACATTTTCTCGGGGAAGTCGGGTCGTTTACTGCATATATATAATATATATATATATATATATATATATATATATATATATATATATATATATATATATATATATATGGCACTGAAGTTAAAGTGCGGTAAAAGGTAAACATAAAATTATTTGACTTATTTTAAATGCATATTCAACGATTTAATTTAATTTTGGTAGTATCCTATGGATAGAAATTCCACGAGGGTAGGTATTTGCATCACGTTCAAGTAAAAGAACCTCGTTAGAAAATAGAGTGAACCAACTAAGAGATCCGACATCGATGTTGTACAAAGTGTAACACACAAAATACCCAACCGACAACATTAACAACAAGCATTAATCACCATTAACGGGAGAAACCTAGAGAAAGTTGTCTCTTTCACCTACCTCTCTACCTAAGCAACATCATTTCAACTACAGGCAGCGGTAATGGCACAGGTGACGATGTCAAAGCGAAGATCGTAAAAGCAAGACAGGCTTTCATTAATCTGAAATGACTGTGAAGATCTACTGCACTCAGCTGTGGCAACTCGGACCGTTACGCAGTAATGTCTAGTCCGACGTTGATATTGATGATGATGATGATGATGATGATGATGATGATGCACTCAGCACAAACAATAAGGTCCAGATTTTCAACACCAACGCCAACTCAGCGCTTCTATGTGACGGTTGAGGGATATGACTCGTCACGAAAGACATTTCCAACAAACTACAGACACACATCATCAACAGCTGCCACCTACACTCACTCGATACTGAAGATGGGGATCAGATGGCCAGAATAATAAGAATAAGCAACAAGGAACTCTGGATGACTGACTGGCAACGAACCAACCAAGAACCTATCACCCAACAAATATGCAGGAAGTGGAAATGGATTGGGCATACACTGAGTAGACCATTCAGGGACATCAAGTGCCAGGCCCTCGAGTGGAATCCAAGTGGAAAGCGACGAGTTGGGCATCCGAGGCGAGGGTGACATGGAGGAGATCATGTGAGGAAGAAATGAAAGCTTGTGGTCAGTCGTGGAGCCAGGTTGAAAAGACTGCAGAGAAGAGAGTGCAATGGAGGTGTTCTACTGAAGCTGTATGTTCCACCAGGAACCCAAGGGAAAGATAATAATAAAATAAATATACATAAAATATCTTCTGTTGACTGCTCAGTAAACTATATAGGTCAAATATCAAGAATGCTGGAAATCAGACTAAATAAACAGAGGATTTGATAAAAGTCATCTCATGTGGACAAGAGAATATTGATATTAGCTCATACACGAGATGAGGAACATATTAACTGGGACAGTGATAGCATGAGCAAAAGGAAAGATTGATGACTGAATTCATATTCATGCATGTTACACCTAACACGTGCAACAGGTGTGAATTAACACAATTGTCAACAACATGGAACAGCAATGGGTTAGAAGTGACAAACGTATAAGCCGGAAACACCACATATGAGAACTAACTTTAAACGTGTGATCAAATTTCAATGATTGTTTAGCAATAACCTCGCTCGAAATATTACGAAAACCAAATAACATCACCGCATAAATATTCATTACAAATATACGTAGTAAATTGATTCTCTACGCAACGTACAAAACCGTTACGGCTATGAACGAAAATCATTGCATTGCAAACTATTCAAAATTTGTTATTGGCTTGGAAGAAAATGTGGAACAAGATGTTCAAAGAGGGAATGTTCTGATTGATGAAATCTTAGGAACTTGAGAGAGTAGGTTCTATGGTAATATTGAGCTCATTTTTCACCTTAAAAACAGTCGTGTGCTAAATATGACAGTATAGCCTGATTTGTGGAGTGCACGATTTTCACGATTTTTACTACAGATTTCAAGGCGAAAAAATCAATTACGAAATTGTACTTTAGGGCATTCCAACAATGCTCCACAACCGCAAAATCATAGAGAATTGTTCATCGCAAACCGTTAAAGATGGCTGAAGGAAATAATAATGCTCCCAGTTATTGAAGTTCCTATGTATATATTACGTGCTAATAGACAAGTAATCTCAAAAAATCCACTGCACTTTTGTATGGAGTACAAGTGAAGTGAGTAAATGAACGTTAATTACATTAAACTGCACTCATAAAAAGGGGGGATATTAGATTGGAAAAGTAACGCTTTCTGGCTTTTGATTACTACTGTAAAAAACGAAATACAATTTTGTTCATGAAACGGTTTTTCGTTTCGATCTTATTCACCTAACTACATGTACTAGACGTTTGCGGCTTTCCGTTGACTCTGGCATTAAGCGACATTATATCGGACACCTGACACTCCCGGCCACAAAACAAAACTATCATGAAAAAACTTCCTAACACAAAAAGGTAAACCGAAAACGCTTGACCAGGTATCTATTAAAATGCATGATCAAAACAATTTGGCATCCACCGATACAACTTCGATTTGTAGTAATCATCAGCGTGATATGAACATATGGAATTTGGTGTCAATATATTGATAACTTTAAAGATAAATTATCACTTGCTACCACGTCACACTTAATGCTCGGAAAAATGTTCTAATTAAAGCAAACCTAACACAGCTACTGGTCAAACAAAAATCCTTTCAGGATATTTAAAGAAAAATATGATCAATAGTTTCACTTTCCATTTCACTACTGAGGCTAGTGATTGAGTTTTTTAAAACCATATAGGCCAAATAAGGTACGACTAGGGCAACAAAAACATTCTAAGCCCAAAAATAGGGTGGACCCAGAAGCAGGGCTGTGATAAAACAAGATGTTTAAAAATTACCCCGTAAAGAAAAGCACCGGGATATCGGGCATGGGGCTATAATATCGATGAGACCTTTATTTTACTACCGTCTCCAAGTCACTTCTTCCCCATCTAACCCATAAAAATCTTGATAGTGTAGGAATTTAGGAAATTTTGGGTGGGCCTTCAGATACACAATGGAACCCACAAAAATAGAAACGAAAGCGCCGTGTTTAGAGACAGTGCTGCAAATTCCAAGTCAAAACGAAAATTTCCAAATATCTTTGAAATATTTGCTGGCTGATCATGTCACGGTCGCTAAGGCAGCACGAATCAATGGGATTTAAACAGCCTACTAGTTCCAAAATTCAATTCCATTCACTTTTCGTGACATAAGGTGACACAAGAGAAAATGAGTTAAGTTCTAACGACAACACAAACCTCGATCATGCATAATAAATAAGATACCAATCAGAACAACATACCACTAATTAGGGTGGACTCTAATTCACAAATTGCGGGTATTTTCAAACACACGCAGTCCCATATCGGGTTGCACGTCACCAATTTCATGACACTTAAGATCATATCAGTTATACATGGGCTGAAATCTCTTGGTCTTAATCATCTGAAAAAGCCAGACCTCAGGGGTTAATATGAACGGCTAAACATGGCCATGACATGTGTTAAAGCCAACTGGATATTGTTGAAAGGCAATATCCAGATGGTTGGTGAAGGCAGTTATGAAGCTTTCACCTAAGTAGCTTCCGTGCCTTAAGAAATAGACCATAAGTTACTTTGGTTGCCAACTTAAGCACAAAACAACTCAAGAGAAAATAGATTGTGATAAAATTGGAAAAGCAGGTTACTTGTGATTGGACTGCACGCATCATAAGTGGAGGTCCATTCAGTAGTTAAGGGGCTCATGCGAAGTAGCTTGGACTACTTCTGTAAGAAAATCACTTCAAGTCTTTATAACTCTCAAGGATTTGAAGCTGCACGCAACGTGAAAATCGCCGTGTTCGAAGCTGAACCTATCCCCACGTCCTTAGAGGGTGGTGTTGTGACAGAAGCCTAATGAGTGATGAGGCGGGTATCCACGGATACTTAAGATGTTGTAAGGCATCATCCAACCTCTCGTTTGCCTGCTATATCCCAGAGGTTGTCGTTTAAGCCGTACTGTTAGCTCTCCATACCTTTTAAACCCATGGTGTCACATACTTATCCAAAATCAATAGCCTGTGGTTCGATGAGATTCAATATTGATCCCTACCTTCATAGTTCTATCGAGCTTGTTAAGCTGAAATCGTACTCCACCTGCAACACTTCTAGGTCTGTATCATTAAGACCATAAAAAACAAGCGTTGTGTTTTGCACTTATCAAGGGTTAACATACATAAGCTGCGCATAGACAATATTTTAAGCCCACTCAGATCATTTCGTGGTAAAACTATTTGCCTGACTTCTTATACTCCTCAAAACATTTATGTCGTAGTCTGTTGGAACGATTAAAGATGAAACGTACTGGTGCAGGCCGATTATTCATATTGAAAAAATGAATAGGCATTTACACTAAACTCCGAAGAACTTCGACTGAAAATTCTACTAATTTAGACACTGAAACACTTACCCGGACACAAACTATACAACAACACAAACAAAAGGACAATCAGGTGACGAGAAGGTGCATTGAGTTCGAATGACTCCACATGATCAGTAGAGCGGTCGTGACATACGAAACCAAGAACGAAGGAAAAGCGGATATAGATGATACCGGATCCGCCTTCAAGCTGCCATTAGCGTCAAGCTATCGAGAGTCTGAAAAGGATTTTTCAGCTCTGCACTCTTGTAAAACAACAATAAGAGCATCATTCATATAACATTCTAAGTTATGACATCTATCGATCATCATAGGTTAACGCTTCCCAAGTTTCCAGGCAAGTAAACCGGCAAACGGGAGGATAATCGTAATCCTGCTGCGGCACTAACTGCCTGTTGCAGATTTCATTGTCAGGTCGTAAAGACATTTTGAAAGTACACCTAAAAAGACGCCCTTTGAAATAATGATTTAGAATGTCAACATCTAGATTATGCAACCAAATAAAATTACCTACAGAATGGACGGGTTCTGTTAATGCAAAACTCACTAAAAAAGATCGAGTTAAGGGGGACCTTCCCTCATCTAACAAACTAACATGCCTGAATGAATCATTAACACCAAATGAACAAAGAATTATATATGTAGCGTCATACACTTCCCCAAAATCAATAGCCTAGGGTTTGACGACTTTCGACATTGATGCTGACCTTGATAGTTTAACTGGACTCGCTAAGCTGAAGGCACCCGGTCAAGCATCCTCGCCATTTGGCACGCTGTCGTGTTACGTTGCATTGCTCGTATTCGACTCTCTAGCCAGTTAGTTGGAACGCATCGGTATTTTGGCATAACCATCCAAATATACTATTCCATCCGACTACGCTATCGTGTTCTTCCTTGGTCTCGTATTCGTGGGTATATAACAAGTTCGAATAATTAGTGATTGGTCTTTGCGTCTGTCAAGTTCGCACCAGGACAAATCCTAAATTGGTGAGCCCGACGTGATCACATATCCCGACGTGCACATATCCCGACCAATAACAAATTTGAATTGGTGAGCCTGTTCCATTTTATATTTGTTTATTGTTTTCATTTCGATAACATTTATATATCCATTTACTACACTTTCTCATGTCCGACCACACTCCCAAGCTTATTCGTATTAAGCCGACTGGAACACGATCCAACTCGTGCCATATTGGCCAGACAATGCAGAAACATGGTTTCTGTATGCCGAGGCCGATTTTCGAGAACAGGGTGTCTCAGATCCTCAATCTCGATTTCTTGCTGTCATACGTCACTACCGCGAGAATTAAACAGGTATGTTACAGCAAACATGTTTAATCCTGAAGTAAGTGACCCTTATGCACTTCTAAAGGCCGCACTCTTGAAGAAAAGCGATCTCACAGATCGCCAACGTCTAGACGAATTGCTTCGTAACATCGAGCTAGGCAGCCACTCAGCTACTGAAGTCCTCGCACGCATGCGAGAAGTAATCGGTGCACGAACATTTGACGATGGTTTCTTCCGAGAACTATTTCTCTCGAAACTACCACAACCGGTGCAAACCGTGTTGGTGACACTCCAGTCAGTCCCACTCGACGACCTGGCAGCCTCAGCAGATAAAATACTGGAGATATCCAGCAGACCCGTCTCCAACGTATATTCTATCTGCGACAAACCAGAGCGCCAGGATTCAGAGGTGACCAAGTTGTGAAACGGTTGCTACGATCTCGAAGTCCTAGATCACGTAGCACTTCACAGAAACGCACCTTGGCGCATCGCAGCAAGTCGCGTGGTAGCCCTAAAACGAAACCCAACAGGGTGGAAAACCCTGAATGGTGCTGGTTTCATAACACTTACGGGGATGAAGCCAGAAAATGTCGTAAACCATGCCGTTTTAAGAAGGACACAAACTCGGGAAACGGTCACGCCGGCACGTGCTCACGGCAACCGTAGCCGGCGGAAAAAGCCGTTTGCTCTACGTCACCGACGTTAAAACGAAAGTCCGCTACCTCGTCGACACCGGCGCAGAAGTTAGCGTTCTTCCAGCAACGACAAAGGAGCGTCATCTCGACCCATCCTTCAATCTTCAAGCAGCCAACGGCAAGGCAATCGCGACATTCGGGAGACGGTATGCCTACCTCAACTTAGGTTTACGCAAACCTATCCACTGGATCTTCCTCCTGCTGACGTCTCTATGCCCATCATTGGCATAGATTTGCTAAACCATTACGATCTACTCGTAGATGCTCGCCGTCGACGACTGATAGATAACAACACAAAGTTATCTATTGGCGGCACCACCTATGTAGGTCCGAGTTTAGCCATCGTTAGGACTAAACAATCAGGCGACGCGTCCTACCAGGCAGTTCTGGAGAAATATCCAGAGTTACAGCAACCGAAGCACACTCTTCCGTGCATAACCAGCAATGTTATGCATCACGTCACAACCACAGGTCCACCTGTGGCATCCAAAGCTCGCCGTTTAGCCCCCGATAAGCTCAAAACGGCGAAAAATGAATTCGACCACATGCTTGACCTGGGCATTATCAGACCGTCGAACAGTCCTTGGGCATCGCCATTGCACATGGTTCCCAAAAAGGATAGCAACGACTGGCGTCCAACGCGTGATTACCGAAGGCTTAACGCCAAAACAACTCCGGACTGCTACCCGATACCTCACGTTTACGATTTGACTGCAACCTTATGCGGAATGAACATTTTCTCCAAAATCGACTTGGTCAAAGCGTACAACCAGATACCTATGGCAGCAGAAGATATCGCGAAAACAGCCATTATTACTCCTTTTGGCCTGTTTGAATTCCTGCGCATGCCATTTGGTCTTCGGAATGCAGCACAAACATTCCAACGCTTTATGGATGATGTCTTCCGTGGTTTGAATTTTGTTCATGTCTACATCGATGACTGTCTAATTGCGAGTCCAGATAGGGAAACCATTGATAACAAAGGTATACGCCCATTGAGAGATAAAGTGGCGGCTATCACAAACTATCCAGAGCCGACCACTGTGAAACATCTCCGCACTTTCAATGGCCTGGTAAGTTATTACCGAAGGTTTATCCCTAACTGTGCCTCTGTCATGAGACCACTCACAGATCTACTTCGAGGAACTGCGAAGTTCGTGTCTCTGGACAACGCGGCTAGACTTGCTTTCTCTAAAGTCAAGGAAGCCATTTCGAACGCAACCATGCTTATGCATCATGACCCCAATGCTCCTCTGAGTATTGCTGTTGATGCATCTGATTCAGCAATTGGAGCAGTTTTGCAACAGTTGACTGACAACCAGTGGCAACCGTTAGCCTTTTTCTCGAGGCGGCTGCAAGACGCGGAAACAAGATACAGTACATTTGGTAGGGAACTCCTAGCCATGTACTGTTCTGTACGCCATTTTCGACATTCTGTGGAAGGTCGTGATTTCATTATTTTCACAGACCACAAACCGTTAACGTTTTCCCTCAGCTCGGCGTCTGACAAATACTCCCCTCGTGAGTCGCGACAGCTGGATTACATTTCCCAGTTCACGTCAGACATCCGCCACATTTCTGGAGCAAACAACTCCGCAGCCGACGCACTATCTCGAATAGCTTCGATAAACTATATCGAGGGTATTGATCTCGTTGAACTAGCTCGGCGTCAAAAGGAAGACCTTGAGCTGCATCATGAGTTGTCGTCCACAACTCTCAAACTGCGACTTTGTCCTGTTGGATCAGACAAGGATACAATTTTGTGCGATGTCTCTGCTAGTCAACCACGCCCAATAGTTCCGAAGAGTTGTCGACGCAACGTCTTCAATACGTTGCACAAACTCTCTCATCCAGGTGTACGAGCCACCATTAGGCTTATCGCACAACGTTTCTGCTGGCCTGGGATGAACAAAGACGTTAAGGAGTGGGCCCAGTCGTGCTTAGCTTG